GTTCAATTCAAATTAAGCAAATCTGCCAAACTTCCTAATGACACATGATTTGTTGGTCCCCCGTCACCAATAGCTTACAAGATCAGGGCTGACAGGCGCTATTCAGGTTACGACCCAAATATAAAATGCCTAACATTCTGCCCCCCCTCTCCCCCGCCCCAAACGGGTCATCTGATAGATGCGCTGGATCAGGATATGGAAGGCGTTATTCGGACTGCGTTCTGAGAACAAATGTCGACGATGGGGAGCGTGGTGGCACGCACAGGTGGCGGTTTCGGACGCGTCTGCTAGGTAGACTGGATCGCCAACGGCGATCCAGTAGGCCTTATTGCCTCAGATCCACACCACCAACGCCCAAGTCCTTTCAACATACCCATGCTGGCAACGCACCTTATGTGCTTGAATCGCTCTTGTCCGACATCCCCGGAGGCAATGCAACATCAACCCGATGACATAAAGTTCTACAAGGACAAATACTCCTACATTGCCCCCTCCTTCAAACCACACGATGGTGACAATCTCCAGCACCGATGCTACAAGGACACACTGAAGAACTACAGCGACTCCAAATGAACCCGGCGACCTACGAGAATCTCGCCCAGGACTGACCAACAAACAGAAACCATAACAGGCTTAGCACTGTAGTACTGTAGCTTAAACGTAGTACAAATTATAAAAGTATAAATGACAAATAAGAAGCTAGCAAAAGTTAACAGGGTACACAAAATCAAAATAGATACAAACTAGACAAAGGACGCGAAGGAGTGCGGGGGAGGGGGTCTAGAATTTGGAACCTATTTGGTTGAAAGCTGAATATGGCAGGCGCATAAATTCGGGGACCAGATGGGAGAGCCTGGTTCGGCCAGTAGCTTCCACGAGAAAGCGTAGTGAACGCAGGCTGATGGGCGGATTGCCATCAATATCCCGGATGCCCATCGCCAGCGCGGTGTCCGCCACGAAGATCACGCGACCGGATCGTGCCAACAGCTTCTCCTTTGGTTCAGCAAGCAGGTGCGCGATGACGATACCCGTCAGCTCGGGGGATTCACCTAAAAAAACAGAAAGTCGCGCTCAGCTGTGGGCATGAGACGAAACGTCACCATCACCGTGACGTGGATCTTGGTGGAGTCGGACCCCACGATGGCCTTCCTGATTCAGATCAGCATACTGTCGTCATATAAATCGACACGCATCAAACGATAGACTCAGAGATAAGGAGAATACGCTTCGCAGTGTATCGCACAAATCCACGTGCTAGCCCCTCACGACAACCAATTCTATTTGCGGTATCTGAAGTCTATGGATTAATTATTTTGTAAATTAGAGCGCATGATTGTGCCGAAAGACCCACAGCCAAAAGACTCATCCGTTGGGAATAAGCAGGCTTCCGATACAGATAACGACACTGACAAGAGGTGAGGGTAGGGATACCTCGTGGGGCCGCCTGGGGAGCGCGTGAAGCACGCCCCTCCGTCTTTAGGGCTCATGATTTTAGGGGAGAGAACGGGGGAAATGCAGGGGATAAATGAGATCGCAAAATTCCTGTAAAATAAAAAAGTTACGAGCGCAAGTTGGGGCGCGTACTCAAACCTCTGACAGGGACACTGAAGTCGCTTTTATATCATCGCTTGCCCCCCCCCACGGACCAACGGCGAGTGCGTATATGTCGGGGGAGTGTACCCTGACCTCGGGCGAGGTTATTGAGGAACATTTTCTGGTAGTACCACTAACCCCAACAAGAATAAAGGCGAACGAGTACAGAAGTTAGAAGATTGTGGAAATCACCCCACTTAAAATTTGTAAGTAGGCGATAATTCTCGCGGTTAGTTTGAAAAGTCATTTTGCTTAATATACTGACTTAAGCGGTTAAAGTGTTCGGTGGCCGTTCGAGAACCCCTATGCAGTTCAATGCCATGATCCAATCCCTGCTGGATCGAAGGCAGGCGTGCTGAAAACGGGAAGATTGTGGGTAATTCAACCTACTTAAAATGTGTAAGTAGTCGGTTATAGTACACAAGGTTCTTTCGAAGACTTCACAAGGAATCCTTACCGTGGTGAGTGCTATGGCCAACCGAAAGGAGAAATAGAAAAGGCAGTGTAAGTTTGAACTTGAGCATGCAATTAACCAAGAAATCGCCACCTGCAGTTTCTGATGTGTAGCACGCAAAGAACAGAGTGGCACATGAAAACAGTTAAAACTGACCTCTTTTTTCAGGTCCAAAGCTGTAGCTCTCGGCAGTCTGGAGCGTGCGTTCTGTTTTGACAATGCCAGGACAAAGCGAAACTACTGCAATATTTTTTCTTTTCTCTCGAAGTTCGTGGGCCTGGCCTGAAGGAACAGGAAAATGTTTGCGTTTGTTAAGAACGCAGTGAATATCACAACTGACAGTCACCAGACATTCATACAACAACTGCTATCAGAAACGAAAAGCAGGAGCAAACATAAATACCCTGCACGTACGGTATAAACAAACGGCAAATCACAGCATAGGATCGAAGTTCAAGACCTTCCACCGCCGAGAGCCAATGAAACCGGAGAGGTTGTCAACGCGATCGGAGGTCAACCCGCGCCCGGGATTCACTACAAACCTGCCTAGAGACTGACTGTCATTTCCGGCTGAAGAAGTTTGAAATTCTCCACGTCGCTTCTCCAGCGTACATATGATTGTTTCCCTCTTACGAAAGCTGTCTCCCTCTGAGCCGTGTCCCCTTCCTCTCTCGAATGCTGATCGGCCTCCCTTGTTCACTCGATTGCACACGGCTGAATACTGACCCCAGCCCCCCCATGTTGGGCTCCCTTGCTTGTTATCACTTTTTCCCACAATGCTGTCGGCCCCC